AACACACACTGTGGTAACTCACACTGGGGTAACTCACACCAGGGTTACTCACACCGGGGTAACTCACACTGTGGAAACTCACACCGGGGTAACTAACACCGTGGTAACTCACACAGGGGTAACTCACACTGTTGTACCTCACACCAGGGTAACTCACACCGGCGTAACTCACGCTGTGGTAACGCACACCGTTGGTAACGCACACTGTACTAACCGAGTTCACAGGTTGGATACTGCACGGCAGAGTGCGTGAGCGCCGCCACATCCACACCCACAGAAACGATGAGCAGCCACGACAGCCACATGTGCATGTAGATGAGTCCAGAGTGTGGCGTGGCCCCGCGGTCGTAGGCCAGGTACAGGTCGTACATGCTTGCCACCAGCAGGGGGAGCAGGATCATGCAGAGGACGCGACTGACCAAGTACGTCAGGCGCATGCCGAACTTTTTTGGCCAGATAAAAATAAAACTCGTTTTTTTTTTTTTACGCTATAAAAATGTAAGTGGCGTACTTTCAGTTTTGTGCTAAATAAGAGTGCTTCTCAAACTATCATGAAAGCGCACGTTTAATGAATTCATAATCAAAGAAGAAAAGAGAACAATTTCTTTTTTTTTTTTTTTGTTCAGAAGAGTTGTTTTTGTTTTTTTGTTTTTTTTTTTTTTTTTTTTAAAGTTTTTTTTAAATTAAAATATCACGGTGATTTTGAAATGGACATATAGAAGGAACACTTTTTTTTTCATTTGCTTTTGTCGTGGGGGGGGGGGGGGGGGGGGGGGGCGCTCGTGTGTGTATGTAATGGGCCTAAAGGTTGTGATGGGGGTAAATGTCATTTAGATTGCATTCAATAGCGAAAAAACGAACACCTCACCGGCAATGTTCCCTCTAAGGTTTGCTGGTTCGAGTGCACAATCCTACAGTTGTGTGCAAAGTTTTACAGCATCAATTTTTTTGTTGTGCAAAATTTTACAGCCCATAAACACAAAAACACGCTTACATGGAAATTTGCTGCGCGGATACTCACTACTGCTGCGCGACCACGCAGCTTAAAGGGAACATTGCTCGACAGCTGTGACTACACAACAGATTCTATTGTCATTCACATTTCTCCATCCCATTCCGAAATAAATTGATCGTGGGCCCTTGATGTGTAGAAGAGGAAGAAGTTACTCACATAAACCTCCATCCATCCAAAATTGATGTCGTTATCATTCGCATCCATCCATCCATATATTGGTATTATTTCACTGTCATACACATCCTATCAGCCAGTGTGTTTGCAATCTTGTAAACGCTTACAAGATGTTTCGCTATTTTTCAAACAATTGCTTTTTTATTAATTGTACAAATCCCCAATACTTAATTGTCTTGGCCCCATCCCCACTAAGCGAAAATCCCCTAACACCACAGCCCTCCCCACCCCACCCCCACCCCCGGGCGTAAAATATTAATAGTGTTAGTCATTATATGGCGGAAATTTATTAATAGAACATCCAGACGTACAATCTGGCCAATCTCATTAAGGTATTAATTTTAAAAAAACATCCTGGTATTCCGTTTAGCCAATCTGTCAACAGCTGTTCGGTACTTCTACGTTATTGGGCGCCTTAACCTAGATGAAAACGTGTTAACAATTTTATTTTTCGAAAGATTGTACAAACAAATAGTTACTGCAATATATAAGCGGAAGTACATTGTTAGAAACTATGTTTTACGAACAAAAAAATCGATAAAATTAGTAACATTACGTAATGCGATGTGACGTTATCAGGGATCAGAAATAACAAACCATCCTATGCCTATAAACTATAGGAGTAAAACAGCTTATATCATATAGCTAAGGACCATGGAATGAGACCACCACCACCAGCCCCCCCCCTTTTTTTTTTACCTCAAAGACGACAAAATCAATAATGTCGTAGTGATGGAACAAGCATCGATGCAGTCGAAATTCTTTCCTAAGGCCATTTTTAACTTTACGATTCCTCGTCCCAGGGTTGTGAAACCTCATGGTGCCTCTACTTGATTCGTCTCAGCGCCGCCATGTTGGATGTCCTCATTGTTTACACCCGGGTTTCGCTTGTCTTCCTTCCTGCCTGACATCGTCTTCTTGCGCAAACATTTCTTTTTTTTTTTTTAATGTGTAACTTCCGGTTTCATGAGATTGTGTGGCGTCTCTGAAATATACACGCCAATCAGAAGTTCTTTCCCGCCAAAAAACTGAATGCTGTAGTATTGTCGTTTGGTGGTTTTTCCACCCCTCAAATTTAAATCTATTATTATCCTTACTTTCCAAAAATTATCAATCCGATTCAATGTTTAGAAATTTCGATTAGAAATGACCGGTATATCTGAAACAAGATATATGTTTGTTGTTTTTTGTTCCTTTGGTGAATCCTAAAACTTTCCAGAGCACACTGTAGATTGTTTCGTCGTGTGTGGGTGCAAATGTATCGGTAATTTCCACTGGGTATTTTTTTATTACGTACTCCAAAACATATTTAGGTTCAATTAAACAATTTCAATCGTTTATAAAAATGGAACATCGAGCAATGTGCAGGGTGGGGGGGGGCTGAATATTTCACAAAACATGCATACAGGTAACTCCCTTTATGAGAATGGCTTTTAGGGGTTCCCCCCCCCCCACCGAGGGTCACACTGGTAAGGCGACTGGGTTTCTGTGCGTATTTTGGGCGCTCGTCGCTATAAAAACTATGTCCTTCTTGAACACTCTCGCGGTGAGTGTCCGTTTCGCTGTAGTGAGATCGTTTCGAACAGATGTGGCAAGACCGCAATGTCTTTGCAGTGGTATCACAAATAACCAGTTAAGGAAACGGTTCGCCGTGTAGCGGCGTTTCTTAGAACAGGGCGCAGTTTTAAATTGTTTCGCTCGCCTTTTGTTTTATGCCACATATATTTGAATTCAGTTATAGGACATAGTCCAGGGTTAGGGCATGGTGATCCCTCACGTGGACCACCAGGGTTAGGGCATGGTGAACCCTCACGTGGACCATCAGGGTTAGGGCATGGTGAACCCTCACGTGGACCACCAGGGTCGGGGCATGGTGAACCCTCACGTGGACCACCAGGGTTAGGGCATGGTGAACCCTCACGTGGACCACCAGGGTTAGGGCATGGTGAACCCTCACGTGGACCACCAGGGTTATGGCATGGTGAACCCTCGCGTAGACCACCAGAGTTAGGGCATGGTGAACCCTCGCGTGGACCACCAGGGTTAAGGCATGGTGAACTTTCGCGTGGACCACCAGGGTTAAGGATGGCGAACCCTCGCGTGGACCACCAGGGTTAGGACATGGTGATCCCTCGCGTGGACCACCAGGGTTAGGGCATGGTGAACTTTCGCGTGGACCACCAGAGTTAAGGCATGGTGAACTTTCGCGTGGACCACCAGGGTTAAGGCATGGTGAACCCTCGCGTGGACCACCAGGGTTAGGGCATGGTGATCCCTCGCGTGGACCACCAGGGTTAGGGCATTCACGTATTCGCCTCGTGCCAGCCTGGCGTGCGTGACCGAACAGGGTTTCTTTCAACTATATATGGGGGGGGGGCACTACCCCCGGGGAAAGCTTAGTGCCCCCGGAGCAAAAATATGTCCAACAATAAATCAACTGGCACTGCTAGCACTGCCCCCCCCCCCCGAAAAAGCTGAAGTGCCCCCCAGGGGAAAATTTCTGTAATAATCACTGTAGCCGACGCTAGAGAGGGCCGCTCCCTCAAGCCAAGAATGTCAGGGGGGGGGGGATGTCCCTGAGCCACCTCCGCAGTAGTAATCCCATGCGCCAACTTGTTCCCCAACATCGACTCACAACTGTTTAGGTGGTCGTCCATGCCTGTTTTAATCGTATCATTTGTGCAAGCCATCAGAATATAGGAAAAAGGAAAGCCTCCACCCGATTCTACCAGCCAAGGTCTAGGATTTGCCTCTCCTATGCCCCCTTTGCCAGAGATTCATATCTGGGAGAAGTAAAACATGTTGACGAGAGTTATTCCCCTTTAAGCAGTTTCCTACTGCAGTATGCCTCTAAAAGAGTGAGTCTCCTAGAAGCGTGGGCAGTGGCGTAGCGAGGGTGTTTGGCGCAAGGGGACAAGATCCATTTTCAACGCACCTTTTTCTTTTTTTCAACTCTCAAACCCATTAATTTCATCAATAAAATAGTATCAAATCACATTTTGGCGCCCCTAACTAGCTGGCGCCCGGGGGACATCTGTCCCCCCTGCCCCCACCACGCTACGCCTCTTAGCGTGGGGCCCTGTGCCAGTGCCCAGTGGGCCCTGTCTTACTTTAGACGGCACTGACCGCGACTAGTCTCTCGCTCCGCGTAGAGGAGTGATCCTTCGCGAGAGAGCAGAAATATCAGAAACGGACCTTTCTTTACACAAACAATAAAGTTGTTACTGGGTGGCTGAAGTTATTTTTTTACCCTACTTCTCTCTCATAGTTCGTGACTTGTATTTATTTTATTATCATGAATTAAACACAAATGAAGAAAAATTAATTTCTCTCCATTTTCCCAACAAGATTTAAGATCTTGGATTTATTAGGGGGATTAATCCAGTAAAAATCGATTTTTTTTTTTATTAACAGTAAAATAGTATTTTATTTAAAGGAGTTGTTTCTCCATATGTTGGGATACTATAAGCTTTTTGAAGTCATTGGTTATTTATAATTAAATCTGTTGTTTTTTTTTTTGTTTTTTTTAAAAGTAATAATCTTGGCCCCATCGTTGGTTTTAATTTTTGTTGTTGCGGTGCAGTAAGATCTGTATAAGACATGATAAAACTTGATGAATTCGCTTCACACTCTTAAATTTTTGTCCATTACACTTTACATGTGCAGCAGCAGTCTGAGAAAACTACGCTTGGTTCATTTCATTCACACGCTTGCAGTGTGTACAAACTTTGAAAGTAAAGCACAAAGTTCAGCTTATCTAGTGTGCATCAGTTTAGTTTATTACTAATAAATGTTAACATTTCCAATTTCATATAGTAACATATGTTTATTACTAATAAATGTTAACATTTCCAATTTCATATAGTAACATATGTTTATTACTAATAAATGTTAACATTTCCAATTTCATATAGTAACATATTTTTTTTAAAAATAAATTAATATACACAGAGATATACTTGAATGATTTAAATACTTAATTAATTTTTTTCTGACTTGACCCCATGTATCTGTGCCATATGACCTTCCAGGCCGCTGGCCTCTGTAAATCTTCTACGGCACATCTTACAGCTGTAAGGCCGACCTCTGGTTCCTGAATTCATCAGTCGCTGGTTGACGACCTCCAGCTCCTTGAGCGTCACCTTTGCATCTGCCATTTTATCATCGTCACTGTCCATGTCCTCTTCAGCGTGTGTCTTCCGCCTCTTGCGTCCCGGAGTCTGGCTTTTAATGGTGCACGCTCTGTCAGCTTTGGAAGTGCTGGCTTCACTCGAGTCTTCTTTGTCTTCATCTTCTTGCTGAGAAGATGTGACGTTCTCATTTAAATCATACCCGAGTGGTGCCGACAGCTCTACATCATCTCCCTCGTCCTTGTGCATCTGGGAATGGGTTCTCAGTCTGGCTATCTGGGTGAAGTCTTTGTTGCAGATCTCACACTTGTACAGTCTGACGTGACTGCTGGCGTGAATCTTCATTCCTCTCAGGCTAGAGAAACTCCTCTCACATTCTGGACACTGGAATTTACCTTTCTCTTCGTTCAGTATGACCAATGTTCGGGTCAGTGGTGTGCTCTGAGAAGCAGCGTGCGTTGCTCTTGGGCGTGCACTTTTAGGATCATCATTCAAGGTTACAGAACTGTCCTCAGTCACGGTCTGATTCCCTTCTGTCGGTTGTCTTTCCTTGCCAAGCTCAGTAGAAGTAGATTTTGCAGAGATCAGTTCAATTTTCTCTGCTATTTCCTTAACTATTTTCTGCACCTTTTCTTGCTGCTCCCCTAGAATCTTCTTACTGGTGTCTCTGTTTGATGCCTTCTGGGCCGGATCTATAGGAATACCAAGACAAGATCTCTGATGGCCCACGGTCAGGTGCTTGTCCTCAAACACGGTGCCACAGTACTTGCATGGGGTCGACTTGGCAAACGTGTTGATGTGTCGAATGAGCGTGTCATAGATTGTGAATTTTTTATCACAGGGCTGACACGTGTAAACCGTGGCAGAGGTGCTTGTATTGAATTCAGTAATTACCGGCGGCTCGTAACGGACGCTCTCTGCCATTTTTTGATGGCCTACATCTTCTGCTCTGGAATCACAAGGGAGATTACTTGATATGGAGCTGCCTTTGTCTTGCTTAACATATTTTGACACGTTCAAACCTTTTTTTCTGGAACACTGATTTTGAAAATGTTCTGTAAGCAAATACCTTCTGGAGAATCCTCTATTACAGACCTGACAAACGTAAGGCTTGCTGTGGTTCAGACCGTGCTTCTTCAGAGCATTTTCGCTGGTGAAAGACTTTTTGCAAAACTTGCACGCAAATGGTCGGACATCCTTGTGCTGGCGTATATGATGCTGCATGAGACTTTTCTGATACGACTTCATGGTCTTGCCGCAAATGTCACACTGGATTAACTTCTGGCCGTATAGCTCTGTGATATCCTTCATAAGGTCCACATGGCTTTCACGTTCATGAATCTTCTTGAAGTGATCTTTCATCAAGTAACGCCTGATGAATCCTTTCTCACACACCGGGCATTTGTAAGGCCTGGTGTGGTTCTGCAGATGTTTCTTCAACATGTGATGTGCAAAGAATCGTTTGGGACACTGGTCGCACTTGTAAGGCCGCTGGTTCAAGTGCATGCGCACGTGAGTGATCATAAAACTCTTAAACCTGAATTCCTGCCCACATATCAGACACTGAAAGCCTACAGAAGTGTCCAGACCTTTGAAGTGATCCTCTATATTCTGAGAAAGCTGGTCAGCTATAAATGAGCTATCAGCAGCCAGAACTGCATTATGGCTCTGCTCCATTTTCTGCTTCTCCTGAAATGCATGCACACGCAAATGCCTCAGGACGTTGGCTTTGTTCTTGAGAATTCTTTTGCAAACATTGCACTGACACTTCAAATTATCGAGGACAGTGAAGCGTTCATCGTTGTTGGAAATCGGGCAGCCTTTCAGCAGGTGGTTCTGCAAGTATAAAACTTTGGAAAATGAAGAGCTGCACATGTTGCACTGGACAGGTTTGGTGTGGGTCTTGGTGTGGTGGAACAGATCCGCCTTGTCCCTAAACGACTTTGGACATATATCACAGTGGAAGGGGCGGGTGTCGGTGTGTTTAATCAGATGTCTGGACAGTGTTGGTCTGGTGAAGATCAGCTTCTTGCAGTGGCCACACTTATAAATCACTTTCTTCTTCTGATCACCAAGACTTGCAGATTCTAAATCAGATTTGGTTAAATCTTCTCCATTTCCTTCAGAAATCTTCACTGCAGTCTCCTCACTTTCTGGAGCAGGGCTTGCAGTATCTGGAATGGTGCCCGCCAAATCCTCTTGGGATACTTCAGATCTGCCTTGTTCTTGAAAGCCGTTCTCTGGTTTCACAAGAGACATTGTATTTTTAACCTGAGCCCTTTCATCATCCGTCAACAAAATTAACAAACTGTACTCCTGCACCTGCTGACCCTCCGCATTTCTTGTGACCTCTACCCTGACCTCATGAAAGATGTTACCGAACTGTATGAATCTTCTTTTAGAATGCTGTCTTAGATGAACGTTCAGCTGAGACATCTGCAAGTACATTCTGTAACATATGGGACAGCGGTGCTGCCGCCTGTGGATCAACATGTGTTTTCTCAGGGTGCTGATGTCGTTGAACTGCTTGAAGCACTTTATGCAAGGGTGAGGCCTTGCTCCAGAGTGAATGACCCGGTGCCTGGCCAGAACGCTTGCATTAGCAAAAGTGTTGAAACAAACAGGACAGCTGACTCCGCCAGGCTTTGGTGGTTTATCCCTCGACGCCCTCGACGCGTCAAAGGTCTTGTCCTCAGGAGCCCCATCAGCAAATACGGTTTCGACATCAGTTTGTGTGGGTGCCTCAACAGTAATGCTGAGTTCCTCCTTGATTTTCCCATCCATGAAGAAAGCCTGCTGGACAATGGCATCTAAATCTGTGATATTCTCCCCATCAATCACCTGTTGGACACATATCTGAGCCTCATCATATTTCATATTAGGGTCACTGACCACCTGCACATGAATGGCTGTGTCCTCTTGGGATTTTTTCAGCTGCTGGATGCACTGATTTGAAAGCAAGGATATCTTTTTCCCTTCAGACTTGACAGAGTCCTCACCAACAGTGAGTATGATTGGTGCTTCCTTGTGGACGAACTTTGGTGGAGGGGGTCTGATGACTGGTCGAGGTGGTGGTAGATTGAGAATGCCGGCTTGCTCTAATATCTTAAGGGGAGGCAGCTGAGTGTAATCCAGAGAAGGATCCTGAAGCTCAAACATCTATTTATGGAAAAGAAAAAAAAACTCACTTTTTTTAAAAGAAAATGAATTTTTCATAATCATCAATATCATTAATGAATTAAAAAATTAAGATGATTTACCAATCCAAATATTGGTGCAATGATAAAGAATCAAAATTATAAAAATGTGAGCACATGTGTATTATATAGTATGTACATTGATTCTGACTTATGAATTATATCATAAAACAATTTTTTTTTAAATATGGAAGACAATGAAAAAAAATCTCGTTACATTCTGAGAAATAAGCAAATTTAGACCAAGTAATCTAGCAAATATACCTGGTGCTCATTGATTTGTAGAATGTCCCGAGTAACAGTGATATCATTTGGCTGTTGGTCCACCAAGTTTATCGTACAGATGATCTGGTTGCAAGGTGTTTCTACTTTCAACTTTTCTATATGGTCCTGCAGGTGCTCCTTAAGAAACAATTATTTTAAAAATATATTAAATGCCATAATGTTTGATAACCATATAACATTTTCAAATCTGTATCAATTTTTTTTTTTAATGAAACTTTATCCTACAGTTACAATTATTTCTAATATGTCTAATTATTATGCATTTCTTTTATTGGCATTAATTGGTATCAAAAAAATTAATGTACCTTTATATTTTTATAACAAAAATACAAGCATGAAACTAGAGAGTTAGACTTACAAGAAATAACAAGCGAGAACAGAATTCTGCTCCACATCCACCACATTTGTAAGGGTTCACCAAATGGATGACTATATCATTTGGGCCAAATTCTGACTGAGCCATTTCTTGTCCCCTAAACAAGACAACATTTTTACAATTATCCAACAATTTTGACCTTAGAATAATTTGTTCAAATTGGTTGATAAAGTACAGTTATATTTTATCGCTTCATAACTTACTTAATCATATAATTAGGGCTATATAAAATAAACATCAATAAAAAATATTAAAGGGTCCATATCAACTATATTATTAATATTAACAAAGACATTATCAATTATAGTTTCATAAATTATGGTTTAAAGAAGTAAAGATCAAACTTTGCATTACAACAATAATTTGGTTTAAGTTTAAGGTTTAAGCTTAAGGTTTAAAGTAATGCAGATGAGAGTTGAGATGAGTCTGGAATGAGGCAATGAGGGCAAAGGAGTATCTCTTGTTCTTGTAAAAAGTTTTACTTTTGCTAAAATTAATTCATTAATCATCTATCACAATAAATCATTTAATTATAATTGAAGCTAACGATACAAGTAGGCTATGCCGGAGTCTCTCAGGAGTCTCGGAGTCTCTCAGGAGTCTCTCACGGTACCAATTGTCCAATACAGTACAGTCCACAGTCAGGGCAGACTTTGACCTGACTTACTTAACTTAATTATAACTTTTACTTAGACTTGGGTCTAGGTCCTAATCCTTACATAACTAATAATTAAAATAATAATTATTATTATAGTCTATAACTATAACTATAACTTATAATAATTTTAAATAATTACAACATAAATAACGATAATGAATAATAATAATAATAATAATATATCTTGAAAACAAAATTAATTATTTAGCTGGTTTAGGGCTAGACGGCTAGAGTAGGCCTAGGCCTTAGGTCTAATTTTCTAATTAGTGTTAGTTAAATGAAATATTTGAGTTTCAAATGGGCCTACTTAATAAAGATCATACTTAAGCCTATGCCCCCTCTAATTAGACTAATATTAAATTACATATAGGCCTACCTTGGCCTTGGACGATCTCATTTAGATTGGACCTTAATGATTTGGTTATGACCATACATATTGCATTCTTGATATTTTTTATTATAACATGGCCCAATGATCATAAAGCTTTGTTTCAAAATATAATGCAAGTGTTTTCATTGTTGAATATTATATCTTCCATTGTATAGCGTTAGTTATAAAAATGTGAGATGCAATTTTATCGTTAATGGCATTTGACATAATAATATTTTAAATGATAATAGAGATTAGTAAATATATTTACTAGTCAAATTCAGCGATAACCCGTTTAGGTACAAAGAAATTTGCATCCCATAATTCTGCAAATTAAAAAGTAGGCAAAACAATTTTGTTTTTTAAAGTAACAAATTAACCGTAAAAGAAAATATTATGTGCAAAAAGTAAAATACATAGCATATAAAGATATAAACAATTTATTTTTCTTAAAAATTTTTAATCTGTAATTTTAGTGGGTTCTTTTTTATTTAATAACACAAGCAAAATATATTTTGTTATGTTTCTTTCCCGGTTACCTATTGCAGCAATTGGCTATTCGGACCCGGCTGGTCACGTGAGGGCTTTATATATTCGGTTGGTCACGGATACTTCCTGTTGGCTTGCCTTCTTAAACTTAAAGTTAAAGCCATTACATCAATCGAGAAATGTCCAATATTTTGAAGAATGTAATGTAATGTTGAAGAAACACGAGAACATTGTGACGTACAGCTTAAAGCAAGTAAGAATATGTATTTGTTTATAATTTTATTGTATTTTTTAATTCTATTTTAAATATAGTTCTATAATTATCATTAACTTGACATCAATCAAGGTCAAAGTCAAAGTTGCCTTTTTTTGTCGTCAAATTGGCTACTGTCTTATCTGTAATTGTAATGAAAAGTTTGGCTGCGGCTATTCGGACCCGGTATCAGAAGTGGATACTTCATTTTAATTCACCAAAAAAATAATTATTATTCACACTTCCCATAAAACAAATCTTCTTTTGAATCAAAAAACAATTCGTAGAGATCAGCCCGCGGCCGCCATCTTGGTTATCGTGACCCACGAACTTGTGTCCTAAATGTATCACTAAACTAACCTGAACCCTAAATGTATCCCTAAACCTGATCAAACTGAATTAGCCTGAAAACCATTTAATTCAAAAATTATTATACATTATTTAGGCACTTGGATACAAAATTTAAAAAAATTCAAATAATTTTTTTAATAGAGTTAGAGCTAATTTCAAATAAAAAAATGAAACCAGAATCAACTTTTTAGCTTAAGTACTTTTTGAGCTATGAATTTTTAAAGTGTGAGTTCGTTTGGTATTTTTTACTATGGACGAAACCTCCACATCTTGTGACCTCATTCCGCTGATCGCGTCATGCGCAATGACTATATACTTTATATAAGGCAACGCATCGCCTTATCACTAAAATACTGTTTAGGGTCGACTTAGTTTAAACTTTCAACTTTGGCACATGAATAATTAATTAAAGCTTTCCCTGACCAATGGTATAGTAGTTTTTGCACACGGCAAACTCTTATGAATGAAACTCTGAGGTAGTACTACGATACAGCCGTTATGCAAGTGGCTGTGAATGGTTGCCAATGACAACGTGTTGCACACGGTAAATTCTGATCATTTATAATATGGATTCTACCGGGTTGTTAAAGCTCAAATTAAAACATTCCAGTTTAAATGTCTTCAAAATGCATTCTGAAACACAAGTTATCAATTATTTTGATGTAGATAGTGGTAATAAATTAATATTTCCTAAGTATCGGCAACTTCCGCCATTACAAAGGGGGCGTGGCCCACCCCATGACGAAATTAGGTTGAGCGAGCTGCATGACCTGCTGCGAACGCGCAGAAACATAGCGTCTCTCGTAAGACACTTATCGCTGTGAAAATTGGCATACATGTAGATCAATAGATTCCCCAGATGCAAAAAAAATTTGGTAGTGACAAATTTTTTCCTTCGACTTAATTTTAATGATGAAAGTTGCCTTATATTTACCAAGGATTTTCTCAAAGCTGACTGATTGTAAATGAAAAAGAAATTGATTAAAATGTAGGCCAAGATGTCTACCTAATTATAAGGCCGAAAACGGAACTCAAATACATATCGAAAGTACTAATTTAATAATAAATAGACACACACATCGGAAAATTAAAAACTCGGATTTTTTGGCGCCGATTGCGAAATCCCATACACAAAAAGTAGTAGTCTCCCTTGACTTACCGAAGTACCTACATTATTTAGATACTTTGGTCTAAAATTTAAACATTTTGTAAAAATAAACCAATGGCATAGTTGAATAGAGCTAAATTTTTACAGAATTATAACACCAAAATTATATTTTTAGCTGTTGTAGTTTTAAAGTTATGAATTTTTAAAGTACGACTTGGTTTGTCCTTTTTTAACATGGACTGCATCTCCACATTCTGTGACCTCATTCCGCCGATCGCGTCATGCGCAATGACTATATAGTTTATATAAGGCTAAGGCATTCCCTTATCACTAAAATACTGTTTAGGGTCGACTTATTTTAAACTTTCAACTTTGGCACATGAATAATTAATTAAAGCTTTCCCTGACCAATGGTTTAATAGTTTTTGCACACGGCAAACTCTTATGAATGAAACTCTGAGATAGTACTACGATATAGCCGTTATGCAAGTGGCTGTGAATGGTTGCCAATGACAACGTGTTGCACACGGAAATTTCTGATCATTTATAATATGGACTCTACAGTGTTTTTAAAGCTCAAATTAAAACATTCCAGTTTAAATGTCTTCAAAATGCATTCTGAAACACAAGTTATCAAATATTTTGATGTATATAGTGGTAATAATTAAATATTTCTTAAGTATTGGCAACTTCCGCCATTAAAAAGGGGGCGTGGCCCACGCCATGTCAAAATAAGGCTGAGCCCCCTTATGGTGATATGGGTCACTGGGAGAAGCATAGCGAACGTGGGACACTACCTACATCAATGAGAATTGGCACAGATATATATCAATATCTAATGCCTTACACGATTTAATATGAAAGACATGTTCCTTTTATTTCACAAAAAATTTTGTATTCGAAGATGCCTTATATATAACAAAGATTTTCAAAATGAAGTTCGATTGAAAAAAGCAAAATAGTTGGATGGAAATGTAGGCCAAGATGTCTTCCAAATTATAAGGCCGGAAACGGAACTCAAATATATGTCCAAAGATCTAATTTAATAAAAAATAGACACACACATCGGAAAATTAAAAACTCGGATTTTTCGGCGCCGACGCTTATTTCCGATACAAAAAAGGTAGTTGTCTCCCTTGTTTTATTGAAGCATCTACATTATTTCACATTTCCATTAAAAAAACTTCACTCTTCCAATAAAACAAATTTATTTTGAATAAAAACATACTTAGTTAAAGGTCCTCCACTACTGTAGTGGCCAAAATTGAACAATATCGTCTAGAATGGCATTGAAGATATAAAAACCATTTACTTTAACACATTGATGCGCATTCAGTTTGCGCATATGGAAAAAAGACGCAAAAACCTAAGTGGCCATCTTAAAATCGCATCTACGGTGACCTCGGATTTATGCGTTTTACGTCACAGTTTCCTATTTGTACATTTATTTTGTCATCAATTACGATAAATATTTTTCTTCCGGTGACGCACATATCTTTAGACCAACTTGCTTTATCTCTGTTCTTTTTTTATGTCACTTTGACCGTACGGTAAGCTATAAAAATGTATAAATACTCTGTTTTAGCAATAAAATGACATTAAAACCTTTAAAAACGAGTTAGGCATTCAAATGGGGTGGGGAATAACTTTGAAATAGTCCATATTCTATTTTCTAGGATAATATAAACCTTTCATATTTTCCTCACGCGCTCATCACGGGAGGGAAAAATTAAATTTCTCCATATTTTGTATCTTCACCGGAAACTAAATTCACTCTCGGTATCAGTCGAAAGAGAGTTTTAATATTCTATAATCTTTTAATATCTGAATAAATCTAAGTAAATTGTAATTTTAGAATACAGAAATTGAAAATATACATAAAATCTAATATAAGTTTGCTCCCACCTACTATTTATAGACCCACTACTACAATTTAACTATAATTTATAAGTCTCTTCTTCTAAGCTTAGCCACTATCACTAAGCCTACGTTTTAAGTACCTGTGCCGGTACTATTTACTAATATTAATATCTACTATAATTATAACTATTAATATTAAGCCCCAAAGTTTTATAAACTAATACAAATTTTCTAATACTACATAAGGCCTAATTTACATATTCAAATTGTTATCATATTGATAATTTCCAAATTTGGTAAAGAGAAATTAAAATAGTTTTAAAAAGAATAATTAAATATTAATAATATATAAAAGTTTTATTAAAATACATCAAATTAATAAACAATATCATCGTAGTAATTATGTTTTTATTAGGACATAGAAAAGCAGTACACAGACAATTATTTAATATATCAAATAACATTTTTGAACTTAGTCTCATCATCATGGCATGGACATGGGCCATGGATGATTTTAATTTTGAGTAGTTTTTATTTATAATTACATGCGTTCAATATTATATATAAAAAAGACTTACTTACCATTTAATAAATAGAATAATTGATTTAAGATTTAACACAAGCATAATAAGATTAGTTAAAATTCAATAAACATGTTATTTTTTTTTTTTTTTCCTGTATAAATAATGATTTTCCCAACTTTTCTGTTCACTTTTTTCTGAACATACCCTTAAATAAATATCTACAAAAATAAGTCTTGATGTTATACAAAAGTTTTGTTGTTTATTGTGTTGTATATTGCATTGAGAATGTCTCCTGAAAATTTGGTAGCATTATCTTTTAAAATCAAAAAGTTTTGGGCAAAATAAGGCAGAAGTTTGTAAAGTGGGTCACATGTTTTTTCAGTTAAATACTAAGATAAAGAAAGGGGTTTTAAAAAATCACAAAAAAAATCATAACTCCACTTCTATAAAAGATAGAAAGATGAAATTGGTGTTGTTGTAAAGCTTATAGCTAGCCTTTTAAAATGATGTATCATTCATGGCAATCGGACAATATTTAAATTTTGTGTCAAAGTACCTACTTTGGGTATTGGCTATTGGCACCCGAGTTTGGATTCTTAACAGAATAAATGCTCATTTGATGAGTCAATCCAGGAGTAGTGCCAATTGCATTATATGCTCTCCATGACTGTTGAAGCATGAATG